CCCGGTTTGTTCCTTCTGCATTAAGAACAAATATTATTAGGACTAGAGCTCGGAAATCTATTCTCGGAATTAAAGTTTTTATTACCGTACATTGTGCACGATCATCATTTACAAGTTTAGATAAATTTCAAAAATAAACATAGTGTAACCTAATTTTCTTTTGTCCAACAATAATCTTGATCAATCTTGTAATATTCAAATTAACGAACTTTAATATTTATTTTATGCCTTATCCTTTTTTAGAAAGTATTTAGTATATTTTTAATAAAAAGGTCATCAAAGAATTAATTTTCATCATCTTTTTTTTTTTTTAAAAAAAAAAAGTTCTTCTCATTCTTTAACTCTTTTTCATAAAAAATAAAAAAATGGTGAAGGATGGACAAGGAGGAATTCTTTCAGGAGTAAATCCTGCAAGTTATAGCGAATCAAATCCAATTGTATTATTCATAATACAAGTAATTAATTTCTAAACATTTAACCATCGAAGAATTATGTGAAAATTGATGTTTTCTTTATTACTAAAACTCGTTTTTTTTTCTATTTCAAAGGTAATTCTAATTATAGTAGTCACGCGGGCCATTCATTATTTGTTAATTTGGTTCCGTCAACCGCGTGTTATTTCCGAAGTGGTTGGGGGTATTATACTCGGACCTTCAGTATTAGGAAGAATACCTGGATTTAAGGATCATATATTTCCCAAAGAATCCTTGACTAATTTAAATTTATTAGCAACTTTGGGTTTAATTCTATTCTTATTTATTGTTGGGGTAGAATTAAATCCCAAATTGTTATTAAAAAATGCAAGAATGGCAGTAACAATATCGGCTGCTGGTATCGCTTTACCATTTACTCTTGGAATCGGTGTCGGATATGGATTATATAAATTGATGAATAATGATAGCGTATCATTTGTCACTTTTATATTATTCAGTGGAGTCGCTATGTCTATCACAGTATGTATATATATTTATCATATTTTATCTTTACTTTTATTAAATATTTAATTTTTATATACATTTTTTTGGTTTTGTTTTTTTTATAATAGGCTTTTCCAGTGCTTGCACGAATTTTGTCCGAACTCCAATTACTACGAACACCCGTAGGAATTACTGCACTTACTGCTGGTGTTGGAGACGATATATGTGCTTGGGTATTACTCGCGTTGGTGGTTTCTATCATCAATTCAACTAACAGCCTTAATGCTTTAT